CCCCTTGGCAGACCCTGCCCTCCCAGGGAGGAGTTAATCCTGGATCCCGGCTTTCCCCGCTCCCCAGGCCTCGGCTGCTCCAGCTGCCCCGTTCCGAGCGGCCGAGCAGCTACAAAGCCCCGTTTGTTTGGGGAAAATAATAATAATAATAATTTAGGAGCGTTTCCCTGCGGGACAGGGGTTGTTTCTCAGCCTGGGAGCAGCCTCGGGGTGCAGCCCCACGGCCTCCTCCAAGCTGCCACCTCCCAGGCTCCCACGGGTGTCCCGGACTGGGGGCTGGAGGCGGCGGCAGGAGCGAGCAATGCCCTGAGCACCCACCTCCATCACCCGAGAGCTCCCCTCCCCAAACCTGCACAACCAGTCTCTGCTGCCCTTCCTCCTGCTCCTTCCACCCTCCTCTGCCACCTCCTCCTCCTCCTCCTCCGTCCCGGGCCATCCCGCAGCCCCCTCAGGCCAGGGGAGGGGACAGGGTTGGTCACTGGTTCTTGGTCACCGGTGCTGACCCCATTTCTCGCCTCTGCTGCCCAGTCTGGCCAGTTCCTCTCTCTCACTGGTGGCCAGGGGGTGCAGGAGGATCCCACAAGTGTCACCCACCTCACCCTGCAGCAGGTTTAGGGCTGGGGACAAGGACCCCAATGCCTGGGGAGCGTCACAGACCCCTTGCCCTGCACTTTGGGGGCACAGGATGATCCATGGAGGGCACAGGATGATCCATGGAGGGCACAGGGTGAGCCATGGAGGGGCACAGGGTGAGCCATGGAGGGGCACAGGGTGATCCATGGAGGGCACAGCATGATCCATGGAGGGGCACAGGTATCCCCCACTGCCACCCAGGAGAATCCCTGTCCCCCCACTGGCTGTGGCAGATGAACCTCACCACACCACGACCCTGCACACCCAGGAGGCCCCCAGGCTGCCCAAATCCTCCCCCTCCTCCTGCCAGGGGGCAGGTTTGGGGCTGAGCCAGGTTTGGAAACTCCCTCCCTGCTTGGGAAAGGGAAGGGGCGGGGGGGGGGGAGCAGGGAGGGCCGGGCAGGGACCCCCTCCCAGGTGGAAACACACCCTGAGGGCACCCTCGGGGACTCAGCGGGTCTCTGGGTGTGTGACAGTTCCCAGGACACGGCCACCCCCGGGACACCAACCCCCTGGCAGAGCTTACACTGGGACAGGGGCCTGGGGCTGCTCCCGTGGGTCGAGGTGTGGGATCAGGGGGGACAAATGGGGGGCTTTGTGAGGCAGCAGCACCTCTGAGCTCGCCCCTCTCCTCCCCACCCCAGGTTGCTCCAAGCCCTGTCCAGCCTTGTGTCCATCTGTCCCTCCACATGTCTGGGTTGTTCCCCTGAGATCAGGGCTCTCAGAATCCCAAAAACCCCACCCTGGAGCCAGAGGAGCCCCCATGCCCCGGGTCCCTGCCACCCTCCAGGCTCCGGAACGACCACAAAGCAAAGTGCCCTGGGCACCACGGGGGAAGTTCCCGGGTGTCACCTCGGGGTGTCACCCCCCATTCCCAGCACCCCTGCATGGCTGCAGGGGACCAGCCACTCACCCCCAGGGGCTGGGAGGGCTCCTGGAGGTCAATGCCAGAGCACCTGGTGCCCCAAAGGCCCGAGGAGGTGGCCGAGAACACCGCTCAGGCGTGACTTTCACAGCCCTGCCGAGCACCCCCAGCCATCAGCAGCCCGTTAAATAAAACACATTGCCAGTGAGGTCATCTAATGGGCCATTATTTCTTTATTTGAACTTTTTACCTTCACCTCTTCCTCCGTGCTGAGTCAGCTCCTCGGCTTGGCACTGGAATCCCTGCCCCGTCCGGGAGATCGATTTGGGCTCGGGGGGGAGCCCGGGCAGGCTGGGGGGATGCAGAGGATCCATCCCAGCTCTGGGACAGAGGCGGGAGAAGGTGGGACCTGCCCTGCTCTGGGGCACCTGAGGGGGCGGGAAGGGTTTGCACAGAGGGGGGGGGGGATGGATGTGGCATCCCCGGGCACTCCAGCTGGGATGGGCTGTGGCAGCTGCCACCGGCACCACTGAAACCCCTTTTCCTCGGGCCCCTCTGCTGGTGGGTCATGGAGGGGGCACAGACCAGAGGGATCTGCTGCAGAGCTGGACTAGAATCATGGAATGGTCTGGGTTGGATGGAAGCTCATCCCATCCCACCCCCTGCCATGGGCAGGGACACCTTCCACTAGCCCAGGGTGCTCCAACCTGGCCTTGGACACTTCCAGGGATCCAGGGGCAGCCACAGCTGCTCTGCCCAACCTGTGCCAGGGCCTGCCCACCCTCACAGCCAAGAATTCCATCCCAATATCCCATCTCATCCTGCCCTCTGGCACTGGGAAGCCATTCCCTGTGTCCTGTCCCTCCATCCCTTGTCCCCAGTCCCTCTCCAGCTCTCCTGGAGCCCCTTTAGGCCCTGCAAGGGGCTCTCAGGTCTCCCTGGAGCCTTCTCTTCTCCAGGGGAACCCCCCCAGCTGTCCCAGCCTGGCTCCAGAGCAGAGGGGCTCCAGCCCTGGCAGCATCTCCGTGGTGTCCTCTGGACTCTCTCCAGCAGCTCCAGGTCCTTGTGCTGTTGTTCCCCAGGGCTGGGGCAGCTCTGCAGGGGGGTCTCAGCTGAGGGGGCAGAGGGGTAGAATCCCCCCCCTGTCCTGCTGTGGGGTCAGCCCACGGGGGGTTTGTGGGTGCCAGGACATGGCCAGGGTGTGTGGAGCTTCTCATCCACCTGCACCCCAAGTCTTCCCCTCCATGAGTTCCTCTCTCGAGGCTGGGATTGCCCCAGTGCACTGGGACAGCTGAACCCACTGGTCCAGCCCAGGCTGTCTCAGGGAAGCCTGTCCAGGCCCTCCCCAGCTCCAGGAAGGCTCCAGCACCCCCCGGGCCCCGAGCAGAGCAGCCCCACACTCAGGAACGTGCATCTAGTCAACACCCTTTTATTAAAAACAATTACAAAAAGTGACAGGTTACAGTCGTTCTGTACAACCCAAACAGCTCTTGCCCACCACAAACCCCTGGGCTGGCAGTGCTGGGGTGCCCGGGGAGGCCACGGCAGGGCCTGCTCTGCCCACGCTGACGGCCTGGCTGGACGTGGTGCTGCCTTCCCACAGACACCCCACACAACAGGCAACCTCCTCCCACACCAGCTCCAAAAAAACCTCATTTTAGGGGGTCCCAGCTGGGAAAGGAAGGGCAAGTGGTGGAGGCCCCCTGGCCTGGCAGGATTCCTGCCTGGAGGAACGTCCTGCCTCTCCCCCCAGCCCAGGCCAAGCAAACAGCTCCTGCCTGGGGGGGGGTCCACGTCAGAATGTTCCAGCTTTTCCATGGCAGGAGCTGCTGTGGGAGGCCTGGAGAGAGGGGGCTGCCTGTCAAGGAACGGGGGAACCTCGAGGCAAGAGCCAGATCTGAAATGACGTGGCTGCTCCAGGTACATTCCATGGCTGCAGCCAGGGGTGAAGATAAATGGGGGATAAACACGGGAAAGGAGGCAGAAGCAGGAACAAACCTTCCCTCCCTGCTTAGGAAGCACTGGACTATGTCTCTCCCACAGCCTGGGCAGGAACAGCACCATTCCCAGCAGGACATGGGTTAGAGGGGACAGGCCAAGCTGTCCCGAGGCTGCCTGGGGTGGGAGCCCCATGGCAGGGGCAGGAGGGGCTGCAGGGCTGGGTGTGGAGCACTGGGGCTGGGAGCTGCATTCCCAAATCCTGGGGTAAGGAACAGCAGCACAGACGGGCTCAGCAGCCACAGGAACCTTCACTCGCTGTGTCACCCAACCCTGAGCCCAGCAGGGCACAGAGGAGTGAGCAGGACCCAGCTCTGACAGGAGCCAAAGCCCAGCAGCCCCCAGGCCCCTCTGCCCCCAGAGGGACACAGCCAGCCCATGCCAGGGACAGGGGGACCACAGCAGCCCCCAGGGGACACGATTCCAGTGCCACCAGGGTGCTGAGGGGAGGTCACTGCTCTGACAACAGGGCAAAACTGCTGCCTGAGCCCAGCTGAGAGACCCCACCGATGGGGACCGTCCCACTGAGCTCTGCTGTCCCCTGACAGCCCCAGTCTGGGTGCAGGGACCACCACAGCCTCCCAGTCACATCAGGGTGACACTCACACCCTCAGCAGCTGCTTTTCTGCAGGGGTCAGACAGGCAACAATGGGGTCCTCTGCCCAGTTTGGAAGAAGGATTTTTCCCTATTGCTTTTGCTCTTGCCTGCACAGAGTCCCTGTGTGAGGGACAGGCTGGTGGGGAGTCCTGCAGATGGGCCAAGGCCACCCTTAGGGGCAATCTGAGATGCCCCCAAAACCTTGATATCCCTGCACAGCTCGCTGGGGACCTGCTGGAAGCTCAGGGCTGAGGGAGGACAGGGCTGAGGGAGGACAGGGCTGAGGGAGGACAGGGCTGAGGGAGGACAAGGTGCCTGCTCCCCTGCCTGGCTCTGGCAGCTCTCTGTGTCCCTGAGGTCTGTGACAGCTTCCCTGCAGAACCAGGGGCCAGCCAGCCCTCCCCTGGCTCACAGCACTTGCCTGATCCCATCTGGTTGCTCTCCCAGCTGCTGCTCAGAGCCTGCCTGCCCCTCCTGCAGCTCCACAGGATCTCTTCCCAGGCCCCTGATCCTCGGCTCCCGCTTCCCAGTCATACACCAGCCACGCAGCCCACTCAATTCACAGCTTCCTGCCCAGCCTTCCTCCATCTCCCCCCTCTCTGGAGCACAGAGGCAACTTAAGTCACACTTGTGGAGGGAAAAAAAAAACAAAAAACAAAAAAACCCAACAAGATCTACCTTTAAACTGAACCAAAAAGATCCTTCTGCACATATCCAACCTACCTCTACAAGCTTCTCTTAGGAGCCAAAAAGTTCTCCCTGGCTGTGCTGCTCCAACCACCCCCCCCTTGCTGGGCCCACAAGGCAGCAGCTGGAGCAGGGAATGGCTCGGGTGGAGCACGAGGAGGATCCCAGAGCCCTGCCCGGGCACAGGGCGTGGGCTGGGGCGGCCGAGCTGTGCCCACAGCAGCCCAGGGGTGCTGAGGGGGAGCTGAGCATGCTGCTGTGCAGGGGTGGACAGTGTGTTACTCTGAGCAATTATTGCACTGCTTCAGGGAGGCGCAGGAGGGACCAGGCCGAGCCATCATCGCTTCACCTTCGCGTCCTCCTTGATCTTCCACACCATCAGCTCCATGCAGGCCCGGGCGTCCTCGCTGGAGTCGTGCCCTTCCACTGGGGACAGACAGAGAGACAAGGCTGGCAATGACCCCTCTTCTCCATTTAGGCTGGAAAAGCCCTCCAAGTCGAACCTTGGACCAAGCCCCGCTGCGCCCACCGAGCCACTTCACAAAGGGCCAGCTCTGCTTGCTCTCTGAACGCTGCCAGGGATAGGGATTCCACCACTGCCCTGGGCAGCCCGGGCCAATCCTTGGCCACTCTTTCAGTGAAGAAATTTTTCCTCACATCCAACCTGAACCTTCTCTGGTGCCTCAAGTTTTGAGGCTGTTCCCTCTCCTCCTGTCCCTTCTTCCCTGGGAGCAGAGCCCGACACCTCCAGCTCCCCCCTCCTGTCAGGGAGTTGCAGAGCCAGAAGGTCCCCCCTGAGCCTCCTTTTCTCCAGGTTGAGCCCCCCCAGCTCCCTCAGAAGTTCTTCAGACCCTTCCCTGGACACTCTCCAGCCCCTCAATGTCCTTCTTGTCGTGAGGGGCCCAGAACTGCCCTCAGGATTTGAGGTGTGGCCTCAGCAGTGCCAGCACAGGGGGACACTGGTCAGGTGTCACTGCCCTGGTCAGGGAGGACAGAAAGGAACAGGCCACAATTCCAACAGGAAGGTCAATCTCAGTTGACCCCAGAGAGGAGGGAGGGCAGGCCCTGGCCTTGGCAGAGCCACCTCCAGCCCCCTCACTCCCACCGGAGCCCAGGTGGCACAGGGAAGGACACAGAGACTCCATATCCTACAACACCCCCAGCCGCTGCCAGGGGAAAACAGCTTAGGAGCGAGAGGAGGAGAGCAGAGGAAGGCCGAGCCCAGGAGCCCTGGGGACAGGTCCAGAGCCCCCCAGGTCTCACCGTTGTCCTGGATGATGCGCTTGAGGTAGTCGGCCATCAGCGTGCGCAGGGCCCGCTTGTAGGGCAGCCCCAGGCGGTGGGGGAACACGATGGCAGTGTCCACCACGGTGCCGTGGATCAGCTGCAGGGGGAGGGAGCACCAGAGAAAGGGGGTTATTGTCCCGCTCCCCCAGGGACAGGCAGTCCCCAGCACTGACCAACCTTCCAGTCGGGCTCCGGGGCCGCCTCGCGGCTTCCAACCCAGCCAGTCCTGCAGGAAGGGTGAGTCCCCTCTGCCCCAGCGCCCTGCCCATCCCACATCCAGGGCAGCAGAGATTCAGGGCTGACTCAGTCCATGGAACACGACAGGACAGGTCAGTCCTTAATCCCCTGGCCCGGAGAAGATGGAGTGACTCTCTGAGTCTTTCACAATGAAGAACTAAACTGGGCAACCAGCTGACCCCACAACCCCGTAAAACAGCCTTTCAACTGCTTCTCAAGATGAAGCAGCTTGATCTACTGAGTGGCAGCCTGACCCAGTGAGTGCCAGCCCTGTCCATGGAACCAGATGATCTTCAAGGTCCTTTCCAACCCAAACCACCCTGGGATGATTCAAAGATGTGGACTGGAGTGGGGAAGATGGGCAAGACAGAACTGCACCTGGCCCAGTGCACAGGACCTGCTGCTGCAGAGCAGGCCTGACCTTCAGGGTGCAAACCAACCCCAAAACCTCCCATCCCTCAGCACTGAGTCACCAGGAAGCTTTTAACCAGCTCAGCCAGGGTGAGCTGGGACAGGGAGATGCTATCACTGAATCACATCTGAGAATGGTTTGAGTGGGAAGGGACTTCCAACTCTCTGCCATGGGCAGGGACATCTTCCACCAGCCCAGGTGGCTCCAAGTCCCGTCCAACCTGGCCTTGGACACTCCCAGGGATCCAGGGGCAGCCACAGCTGCTCTGCCCAACCTGTGCCAGAGCCTGCCCACCCTCACAGCCAACAATTCCATCCCAATTTCCCATCTCCCCCTGCCCTCTGGCAGTGGGAAGCCATTCCCTGTGTCCTGTCCCTCAATCCCTTGTCCCCAGTCCCTCTCCAGCTCTCCTGGAGCCCCTTTAGGCCCTGCAAGGGGCTCCAAGGTCTAACAAGAACTGTGTTCAGTGAGAGCTAAAGGGAGGTGGATGAAGCAATCCCACATCTTGAGTGCAGGAGTAAAATGCAGGACCTAAAAGATAAACCTGTGTCTGACCAGGAGACAGCTCTGCAAGTCTCAACACGGGATGACTCCTCCAGGACCCGGATAATCCAGTCTCCCTGCCTGCCTCAACTCTTCTGAGGCATCAGCTAATACTGCAGGACAACCTGTAACTCCATCACTAACTAACTAAAAAATGCCTGAGAACAGCTGCACTTGAGCAGAAACAACCTGCCATGCTCTCCCGAGTGTAAAACTGCCAACGTTATGGATAATCTCTCCTGGGCTGCACTCGGCTCTGGCACCATCCCAGGCACAATGGTAATTACTTATGTAGATCAGGAAGGCTGAGGAAAGGGGGTAATAAAGCCTTAAATAAAACCTGAAGTGCTGTCACCATTTGGAGCCGGCCAGGGCCATTAGCGAGATGTCGACTTCGCTGCCACAGCCCCGAGCCATTAAAACCTGACATCCCACCGCCTGTCAGGCCCTGCTGGATGGCTCTGGGCTCCCTCCCTTGGCAGTGCTGAGAGAAAATCGTGCCTCTGAGAGGCCAAGGCAGTCATCTCGAGCTGATAAACCCGTGAGTGATGTTTTTGTGATGATGATGAAGTCTCTCCCAGGCCGGGATAAAGGGTGCCACGGAGAGGTAAAGTGTTTTACGGGCATTAAAACCTCCTGCTTCCCAACCCAGAGCTGTGAGCTGGCAGCCACAGCTGCTGCTGCAGCAGGGGGGCTGTGGGATGAAGGATGGCTGCAGGAAGTTCTGGCTTGTGAGCACAGAGCAAAGACTCAGCTCCTGACTCCACACGCTTTCTTAGTGGCTCCGGACAAGCCCCTGGCATCGACGTGCAGAGGGTAAGGGAGGGGACAGACCTTCCTGGCAGGACAGCAGAGATGGCTGAGGGACGTGCAGACCAGAGTGATGAGGGCCAGGCAGGAAACAAGCCAGAAAAGGGGTCAAAGCAGTGACCCCAAGTGCTCAAAGTAACAGCAGAAATCCCGGCAAAGCAGGCAGAGAGCAAACGTGGCAGAGGCGAAAGGCAAATGATCTCAGATCGGTCACAGAACACCTGGAATAGTTTGAGTTGGAAGGGACCTTCAAGCTCATCTCATTCTGGGGGCAGGGGACACCTTCCACTAGACCAGGTTGCTCCGAGCCCATCCAAGCCTGTCACCTCCAGACAGGTCTGTCACCCCAGGCAGCACTGGCACTAAAAGCTGGGGTGACCCCAGGAGTGATGACACACGACCCACCACGGACAAGACCCCACCAGCCCAGAGATCAGAGCTGCTCTTGGAAATGAACACCTCCCAAACCGAAAGGGGGCATTTAACACCCTCCAGGGTGGCAAAGCCCTCGTGGGGGGGGGAGGAGAAGGCAGGACACCGAGTTACCTTTAGTGCAAATAAGTCGCTTTCCAAGCTGTGCCCTATCAGGATGGTGTCTGCACTGAACATGTTCAGCAGCACGGCCTGCACGTCCCGCAGGGTGATGCTCGTGTTCTCCAGGTCCTCCTCTGTCACACCTGAGAATCTGCAGAGCAAGAGGAGGGAGCTGGCAGAGAGGAAACACCTCTGGGCCCCAAAGCACCTCAGTTGTTTTGGTCAGGGGTTTCAACAAGTGCTCCCAGCCATTCCCTCCAAGTTCCTGGCAGAGCATGGAGCTCTGTCCCAAGGAAGAACCACCCCTGCCTGGTGTTCTATTCCTTCCCTGGTGTTCCAGTCCTTCCCTGGTGCTCCAGTCCCTACCTGGTGTTATAATCCACCACCTTGGAGTCCGGTTTGACGAAGGTGTCGTACACCACTTTCAGGTCCGAGTTGATCACCGTCACTCTCGTCAGCTCCAGCCCTTGCTTCGTGTAGCACTGCAAGGAGCAGGGCAGGGGTGAAGGGAGGCACCAACCACAGCGTGGGAGCCCCCCTGGTTATCCTGAGAGCCTTCCCTGCAGCAGGAGCTCTGAATGGGATGAAGTTCAAGGGGCAGCAGGAGCGAGGAACTGAGGACACGGCAGAGGCTGTGCCTGCCCCTCTTGCCCACTGACACAGTTTAGGTCAAATAGAGCCCTTCCCCCAAGTGCTGCAGCTCCCAAAATGCAGCAGAGAGTGCAGAGAGGCAGCAAACACTGCTCAGGGTGGGCCAGCCAGCCACGGGTCCCCAGCTCAAACACACCAACCCACCATTTGCATGAATAGGACTGGTCTGGTTCAGAGTCCACAGGAGAAAGGAGAGAAGAAGGTCAGGAAACAGAGCTTGGCCTTCCCCAAAAAGCTTTATGGACCCACCATTTCACAGTCTAAGGCGTAGATCCCAGGGTACCCATCAGTTGTAGGCAGCTTCTCAAAAGTCTTCACAAAGCCATCCAGGCTCTCCTTCCTCCCGTCATGGACGTGTTGCTTAAAGGAAAAAAAAAAAACCAAAAACCAAGGGGTTTGTTGATGATAAAAACAAGAACCCAAAAATTCCACTTAGTGATCCTCCACCTGAGAAAAAGTTGTTTTCCTAATCATTTCTAAAGGTTAACAGGGAGCAAGTTTTGCCTACAGGGGGTCTGAAAAGTTCACCCCAGCAGCAACCCCAGCTCCCAGATCAGGGCTGGTGGCATCACACTGACAGTGCAGGGAGGAGCAGGATATCATCTGGGGACAGGGAGCTTTCAGTCTGGAGTGGAACTAGTCAGGAAGGGACACACTGAGGTCTCACACTGATTTAACTCCAGTGCCAGGCACCCCTGTGTGAGAAGGAGCACCAGGGGGAGATGCTGTGAGGAACTGGTGGAACCGAGTACCAGAAAATGTCAAAAAGTGAGCACAAAATCAAAGCCACTGTGCCCCACATCCAGCCAGCCCACAGGCAAACAGGAGCTACAGCACTTGAGGCAACAGAAGGTATTTCCAACCACTCCTGTTATTCTCAGCTAAAGCTCTGAAGGTCAACAAGACCCAGCAGGAAAACTCGGGGAGTGATTTCACAAGTGGCTAAAGCCAGTGCAAGACTGAGCTGCTGTTGCAACAGGTACTCCCACACTGCTCCACAGCCACAGATCCCACCCCTCCCTGGGGATCCTGGAAGCCCTCCCTGCAGCAGGAGTTCTAAGCTGGATGAGTTTGAAGGGGAGGCAGGAGCTGAGGGCAGGGCAGAGGCTGCCCTTTTGCCCACTGACACGGTTTCAGGGCAGATGAACCTGCAGCACCAGCGGCTTTTGGTTGTGTTTAAGCTTTGTCTGTCCTTAAATCTCACTTATTTGTGCAAAATCAGAGCCTCCTGCACTGTGCTTAGAATCATGGAATCCCAGAAGATCCAAGACCCCAAAGATTGTCAAGTCGACGCAGCCCCACCACCGTGGTCACCACTAACCCACATCCTCAAGTGCCACATCCACATGTTCTTTAAATATTTCCAGGGATGGTGACTCCACCACTGTGCTGGGCAGCCTGTTCTAAAGCTTTATAACTCTTCCAGTGAAGAAATTTTCCCTAATCCCCAACCTAAACCTCCCCTGGCACAGCTTGGGGCTGTTCCCTCTCCTCCTGTCCCTTCTTCCCTGGGAGCAGAGCCTGACCCCCCCAGCTCCCCCCTCCTGTCAGGGAGTTGCAGAGCCAGAAGGTCCCCCCTGAGCCTCCTTTTCTCCAGGTTGAGCCCCCCCAGCTCCCTCAGTGTCCCTGTGGTCCTGAGGGTCCCAGAAACGCCCCCAGGATTCGAGGCGGTGCCTCAGCAGTGCCAGCACAGGGCAGAGCTTCCCACGGATCTCACCCTACCAGGAATCAAACTGGTTTGTCTCAGGATTAAAGGCTGGAGAGAGGTGAGGAACTGAGGCCCCTGCAAAGCTGCAGGGGTATAACCAGAGCAGGATTTACATATTTTCCTGCACAGATCACTGCTGCAGGTACAGCCAGAGCCAGGAACCGCATCCTTTGGAGTCAGTGAGGTGGCTGGGCCAGCTCTGAGGGCAGCTCTGCCTGGATCCAGAGCCAGCACTGCTCCAGGGCCTCGTGGTTCACCTGCCCACTCCGCATCCATGGCAGGGATCCCGCTGTTCTGCTGAGGGAACGGGCAGAGCGGGTCACCCTGAGCCCTCCCCTTCCTCTGCAGTGCAACAGCACCGGGCAGGGAAGGAAAGAAAGAAGAAAAACAACTCGGTGTTTTTCAACCCTCCAGCCGCTGTTCTGCAGCGTCCCAGCTCCTCCCGGCCGGCAGGAGGGCACAGGAGCTGCTCCTGTTTCTCGGCCCAGGGGCAGCAGCCGCGGGTGGCACAAAGAGCGGCCGCTCGAGGCTCCCCGGGAACAGCTCCTTCCTGCCATCTCCTGCCTCCCTGCCGAACTGCAGACACCGGGACAGCCACAGACGCGGCCTTTGGGGAGAAACACACGCGCTTTTCCGGGCCTGGCTGCTGAGAACGGCGCCTCACTACAAGTATCGTCTGGTTTCAGCACTCAAGCTGGAAGATGCTGAGCTCCCCAGCATCCCAACATCCCATCGGGCACTGATCCCCCAGTGCACCCCCCAAGCCTTAAATCTACCCCAGGATGCTGGGAAAAGTAGGGGCTTGGAAAACAAAAAGGAGGGAGAGGGACTTCTGACACTGGGAAGGAATTCTTCCCTGGGAGGGTGGTGAGGCCCTGGCACGAGCTGTGTTTTTATAGCCCCATCAAACTCTCCTGACTTTCATCCATACTGGATGTTTTGTGTTGTTTGTTTGTTTGTTTGTGTGTTTTTTTTGAACACTGACTAAAAAAAGAACCTAATTTTACATTAAACAAGAAGAGAAGCAGCAGGCTGAGCCCACTCATGCTTCCAGCTGTGCAGGGCAGGCTTTTACAGAGCCCAGACGGCAAACTCTTCCTATTTTAACAAACCTTGACATTCCCACCTCTAGCTTTTGGTTCTACCTGCCGTGGCAGCCCCAAATATAAAAATGCCACTATAACAAGTGAAAAGAACATCCCCCGAGAGCTGAGGGAGAGGCAAAAGAGAAACCTGCTCCCTTCAGCCCATAGTTTGAGAGGACTGGTGATGCCAGGCTGGGAACCAACACTCCTGCTGCCTAAGGAAAGGAAAAAGGCAAGGCAAAAGGTATCCAAAACAATGCTCAGCTTTATCCAAACATAAAAGTCCACTGCTGAGCAGGATTTTCATTTTGTTTTCTGTGATATTTATGAGTTACACCAGGCTCCTGGGGAAGGTTCCTCCCCTGAATACAACAAAGGGCAGGGCAGAGCCAGCAGAGCTTAGAAAAGATATAACCTCCAGCAGAAAGTTACCTCAGCATGGGTATCTGGGCAAGGAGAAGATGGGAAAAAGGTTTTGGCACACTCAGAGCAAAGGCTCTGAGACTGCTCCTTAAAAGGAAACCTCTGATTTCTCATTCCTGTGTTTCCCTGAAGAACATGAGCACATCCCCCAGGGAGATGAGCTGAGGGGTAAATGGAACCACCTCACCCCACGCAGCTGAGAGCCAAACACTGCATTTCCCTGCCTCTGCGTGGCAAAAAAATATTTAAGCAGCACTTGTTTCCCCCCCTTAAGGGAAGCCACTGTTCTTGCAAAGGCTTAAACCAGTGTTTCCCAGCCACTGCCACTGTCAGCAGAGCACAAATGCCACGGAGAATAAAAAAGGTGCTGCTCAGTGACTTACTTACTTTAGCAACCTGGCAGCCTGGTGACCCCACAGCTCCAGAGCAGCAGCTGTAGTGAGTTTCCCATCCACCTGGCACTGGAAGAGCAAGAGATGCAGAGTCAAAAGGCCTTGTCAGCAAGAGGCCTGAACTTCAGCTCTCTCATGCAGAGACAGCCTGGAGGGGGACACAGCAACACTGAGGTGTCAAACACAGGGGGGAGATAACTCTGGCTTCACAGGCAGCAGCCTGAGGAGTTCAAGTGCTCAGCCAGACAAAGTCCAGAAGCCACCTGGATAATCTGATGGAAAACCAGAGCAGAGCTCAAACTAGGTTAGTGTCTCACTGCAAATGAATTCAGCCAAGGCCAGCAAACTCTCCTGGGAGGGACAGACCTCTAGTGCTCCCAGCCAGCCTCCTGAAGGGCTGGGGTTTTTTTTCTTTCAAAAGGCACAGGGAGGTTTGATTTTTCTTTTCCTGCTTTTACACACAGGTGAACCCCCTCTGCTCCACCCCCCCAGTGCCACATTTTGGGGACCGCCCCGCTGCCCAGCAGCTCTTTTTGCAAGGCCATTTCAGCAGCAGTGACAGGAGCAGGAGGTGCCAAGCCCCCAGAGGAGGAATCCTGCATGTTTGGAGCTGCAGCGCAGCCCCCCTGGCAGGGACAGACCTCTCTGCTTGCGCAGCCTCCCCCAGTGATGGACACACTCCTCCTTGCGGATGCAGCTCCCCGAGGCTGAGACCATGTACTCGGTGCCACAGCGACAGCAAATCCTGCAGGAGGCTTGGGGAGAGCAGAGAAACAACAGTCAGGTCACCAGAAATCCCTCACGCAAGCACAGCCAGACCAGACTCACCCAAAGCCCCGGGCGGAAAGGATTCCGAAAATGTCGTTCCCAGCTCCCCCAGAGGCACAGCAATCCCTCTGAAAATGCACCCCCGTGGCACCTGCCCCACTGAACGCTCCCCAGGGGTGAATAACAGGGCTCTCTGGTGGGTTTGGTGCACAGCATCAGCTGCACCACAGCTCCATCAGCATTTGCTGCCCTGTTTCACCATCCACAGTAAATTACGTTGGACTCTAACACAGTTATTTTAAGAAACAGGATAAATAAGTCATTCTTTGGACATCAGGGCTAATGAAAGCCTGGTTTCCAGGGGATCTGTGCCTTGTCACTTCCAAATGACATCTTAGTTCCTTCCAGGGCAACAGCTTCCCTGCAAGGATTCCCAGCACCTAAAAACGGGAACAACTCCCAGCAGGGCCTGGCCCAGCAAGGAAGGGACTGTCCTCTCCTGCCAGCTGTGCTCCTGCTGCCCAAAATTTGGAGAAGGGAGATGTAAAAAGCCACTGTAAAGGAGCTGACTATCGCCCTTCTGATCTCCAACAACTCCTTGAGTGCCAGTGTGAGCATTTCAGCTCATTCCCAGCCCACTGGTGCCCACAGCATCGACAGACCTGCAACAGCTCGAGCTGAACAAGAAGGAATTCAAACATCCTGCAACATCTGCAGGAAAACTACAGGAACACGAGCTCAGGAGCACAGAAGAGAGCTGGCTGGTCACCTGGAGAAAAGGGCTCTAACAAACACAGCTCTTGAGAGTGTTAATGCAGGAGGGCTTTCGTCCAGGTTGCTTCAGCAACCACGGGACAAATGTAGGCACAAGGTGTTAACATGGATGAGCACTTAACACACTCCAGAGAGGTCACTCCAAAGAGGTGCTCAGAGGAGCGTGGAAAGGCCCCTCCAAAGAGAGATCCTCACTCTGGGTTTTATCCCTGCTGCAGCACACACTGCCTTAATCAGTGCCTGGGGAGCTGAAACCCTGCCAGGGGTTCAGAAAATTCAGACAGACAAGGAGCCCATCCCATCCTGAGGAAACCTGTGGGATCAAGGCCAGGTTGGACAGGGCTTAGAGCACCCTGGAGCAGTGGAAGGTGTCCCTGCCCATGGCAGGGGGTGGCACTGGATGGGCTTTAAGGTCCCTTCCAGCCCAGCAGGGCAGGACCCACCACAAACCCAGCCTGGCCCAAGCCTGGTGCACATCCCAACACAGCAGCAGCTCCCACAGAGAGACAGGAAAAATCCTCCCCTGGAAGAGGTGAACATACTCAGGGGTGGAACAGGAGCCTCTTTCCAACCACTTCCCTTGCATTTTTTGCCTTGGAGTCCAAACCCAAGTGAAAATGTGTCCTTGCAGGGGGAAACAAAGGCAGCTGTGCCAGGGAGACAACCTGCCCAGTTCCTGCCCTTTGGCAGCACAGAATCACAGAATTGCTAAGGTTGGAAAAGACCTTCAAGATCTTCAAGAGTCCAACCATCAACCCAGCATGGTCACCACTAAAACATGTCCCCAGGCACATGTTGTTTAAGCACTTGCAGGGGTGGTGACTCCACCACTGCCCTGGGCAGCCTGTGCCACTGCCTGACCGCCCTTTCCATAGAGAAATATTCCCGAAAATCCAATCTAAACCTCCCCTGGCACAACTTGAGGCCGTTGCCTCTGACCCTGTCACCTGGGGAATTAGAAACTAAAAACCTCCACACGCCACGAAGCGTAAAACCTCGGGTCCGAAACAACATTCCCGAGCTGGAGAAGCCCATCCTCCAGGAACACAGCGGGGCTCTGCAGCCACAGGGCTCTGCTCTCCACAACACAGAGAAGGAAGGAGCCAGCAGGGCTTACAGTCGAGCACTTTCTTCTCCTCTGCAGTGAAGAGGACGGCACGGCCGGCCTTGTCGGGGTGAGGCATCGGGTACCCGTTCTCCTTGAGCTGCTCCTCCGTCAGCAGGTAGTCCTTGAGGCGCCGGTACAGGGCAGCTCCTGCACGCACAAGTCAGATCTTTTAAGTTTCTCTCACTGCTTTTGGTTTTATCAAGCCCCCTGGAAGGTGTTCCCCCTGCTCTCGATGCGTTTCCACCCCTCGTGCTGCCTAAAAATCGAAGAAATAATTCTCTGGACGGTGTTGGTATTGAAAGGTTGAACAAACTTTTAGTCTTAGGTGCACAAAGATGGCACATGCACACCCACACACAGGTTTTACAAACTCACAGTACCATCTGACTGTAATATCTAACTGTCACCTCACGGGGACACAGCCTGCCCCAAACCTGTCTGTCCCCCAGGTCCTGCCACAGGCAAAACCTCCTGGAATTGGGGTGGTGGTCTCAAGCCCTCATGTCTCCATCAATAATTTGTGCCCTGCCTGGCTCTCTGTCAGGGATTCTGGGCCTCCTCTGGCAGTTCAGGCTAAGGCTGCATCAAGGAATGTGGTTCCTGTGTTCTTTAGGTCCATCTCCTACAGACTGGATGGTCCTGCTGGAATCTTTACCCACTGAAATCCCTGAGAAGAACACTGAAGAATATCTCTGGAATTTTGGGCAAAAGGTAATCAGCTAAAAGTCCTATTCCAAAGTGTTAAAATCTACATAATGCGTGTTTTAAGGCATCCCAGGATGGACAGGGAAACAGGTGTCGGGTGGTGTATTTTAAAATCCGGTCACTGGGTGCACCAGCTGATTTTTAACCACTTTGAACAAGCAGCACTAAGCTTGGAAAGCACAGCTGAAACAGAATTCCTCCAAAAGGATCATTGTAAGACCTTTTTGTTACCAACAGAGCCACAGAATGGTTTGGCTTGGAAGGGACTTTAGAGATCATCTCATCCCACCCCCTGCCATGGGCAGGGACACCTTCCACCAGCCCAGGTTGCTCAAAGTCCTGTCCAACCTGGCCTTGGACACTCCCAGGGATCCAGGGGCAGCCACAGTTGCTCTGGGCAGCCTGTGCCAGGGCCTGCCCACCCTCACAGGGAACAATTTCTTCCCAATATCCCATCTATCCCTGCCCTCTGGCAGTTTCAAGCCATTTCCCCCCCTGTCCTACCCCTAAATGTGAGTTCTGCCACATTAATGCTTTAACTGGTAACTGCTAACAGCCCACAGAGCACCCCTCAAAGGCCACCCACAGCTCCCTAAAAACTTCATTATCTGCAGCTTTCTTCCTGCTGCCCATCTCAGGCTGCTCGTTTCACTTCACAGAGTAATTACAACTTTTCCCCCCTCTGCTCAATATCTGCCCTCTCTGCTGGATAAACCCTTCCAATAGCTCTGGGTGCCCTTTGATGTCGCTCAGCCGAGCTCTGCCAGGCCCTTTCAAGCTCCCTCCACGTCAATTCCTTCTGCTCCGTGGCCTCCCCGTTCCCTTCCTCTGATCTCCTCGACAATTTGCCTGCATCTCTTGGCAACCACAACACCCATCAAGTGATTGGAGCCCA